ATTGAAATACCATCTATTCTAATTAGCTAGCTGATTGCTTGTGATCTTTGTTAGACACAGTTAATTTCACATCAATGAAGAGGATGATGCATTCCCTTGATTGATATATATAGAAGGTATTGATTTTGATTTCATTTTTTTTCCTTTCTTTCCATGATATATATCCAGCATTTGAAGATGAAGAGTCTGATGATACCTAAAAGCGAAATCTGTTGTGAAACTACTTCTGTAGATGCTGGAAACCAAATGCAGGACATGTAGTACAGTGATGAGCTTTGGTTAATTTAATACTAACGAACCAGAGTGATGTTGAATAAAAAAATTACTTTGTTCTTTGTATATATATGCTTGGAGTGTGTGTGTCAGTAACATGAATCCTCCGTTGAACAGATCAGCAGAGGTTTCACATTCAAATAATGTTTTGAGTGATTCTGTAGAAGGGACTTTGTATTGTCATATATTCCTTTGTGAAAGAATTTATGGTTGGAGTATATATGGTGTTTTTGTTTAGACATTGTATAGCAGTCACAATCAAATTTCTATCTTAATGTTGGATTCATAAGCATGACATTGATGTTTTGAGCTTTATTTACATTAACATTTTAGTTCCTTCAACAATGTGATTTTAATTATCTGTTTGTGAAAATGTACATGCTAAAGTATATGTCATCATCAGTTTTGGATCATTACATTCTGCATTTGATTTAATCATATTTATTAAGACTTTCCATGTTAAAAAAAAAATGTTAATAATTTCATCAAGGGTAGGTGGATATAAAGTATATAGGACACGTATTTTGCTTACAAAATCACATCTATTAGTTTTTGTGACTTTGTTACTGCCATTGAAGTCAATCCCCTCCTAGAAATGCACACAGGCTGAAGAAAAGCCTATTTTTAAGATTAATATCATGAATTTCTACATTGCATTAAGGTCTACAATGAAACTTTACTGAGTGATACAAGCACTAACTAGAAAGAATTGCAAGATGGTTAGGTTTCTGAATTCTTTTGGACCAATTTATGCCTAACTGATGAAGTCATATTTTTAGTTCAACCACAGGCAAGAACAATACTGATCTAGAGATTAGTTGGAGAAAATCTGATTTCCTTTAGATTGGTGAAAGGAAATCTGGTTTTCAAACTTATCCAGAAAAGCTCCTCTGCTCCCTTCATAGAAGAAATAAATAAGGTATTTGGAAACAAAATTAGTAGCTGGGATCCTGGGAAGTTGAGCTAACTAGGTTTGGGAAGTTCCAGCAACTCATCTTTTGAGCCTTCTATTTCCACATCTCACATCTATTAAAAGGCTCGTGAGAATGACCAACAATACACAAGCAAACTACAAATTGATCCTTTCATTTGGCAAAGACTTGTGATTAACCATGGCTTACCATTGTCTTCAATTCTTTGTTTTATCACTTTTACCGATCACTTTTGTTTTCAATGAACAGAAACAGTTTTTTGATTGGGGGCTCCTGGTCTTCTAGAGACAACTGTACCAGAGATTACTACATTGCCCAAGGTTGAATTGTTGCCATTGCCTGTAATTCTAACTTTGCCAAAACCTGAAGCACCAAAGGTGCTAAAGCCTGAAGTCCCTTAACTACTAGAGATACCAAAACCCCAAGGGCCTCAGTTGCCAAAGCATGAACTCCCCAAGTTATCTGAGTTGCTTGACATTTCAAAGTTAGAGGTGCCCGAGCTACCAAAACTTGAAGTGCTTGAGATTGCAAAGCCTGAATTGCCTAAATTGCAAGAGATACCAAAACCTGAAGTTTTTGAGTTGCAAAAACTAGAACTTCCAGAGCTACCAAAACCTGAACTACCCCAAGTTCCAGAGTTACCAAAGCTTGAAGTACCCAAATCTCCAGAATTGCCAAAACCTAATGTTTCCAGATTACCTGAGTTGCCTAAACCTCATAGTCCTTGACTTTTGAAAACTGCATTTTGTTTCCATCTAGTGCTGTTGTTACTACAAATTACTATCCATTGTACTCTTATTTGGAGAGTATTTCTTTAGTTCATGTGTGTATCATGTAATGAATTAAGTACTTGAACTACCATAATCTTATTATATATTATATATACATTCTGATAAGATGTTTGGAAAGCACATTAGTAGACTTCTTATCTGAACTACTTGCTTATATATATTCATATATATAAAGCTAGCTTCTCTTCATCCTCTCTATTAGAGTTGTTGTTAGCATTGTAACTCTCCTTAATTAATGTGTTAGGTGTAGTTAGCATTAATACCTGGTTGGAAGTTGAATTTGATGTTTAGAGCACAAAGTGCAGTTGGAAGTAAATGGAGCAGAAGTGACTTCAAGTCAGCAAACATACATTAAATGAAATTGTCTGTACTGTTGAGGGGATATTGAGCAATGTAATCCCTTTTTTTTGTAAGCTGCTCTTGTATGAAAAATGAAGAGAAATGAATGAGAGAAAGGTTGGAAAAACAAAAATCCAAACTTATATTTTAATAACTGTCTTTTTCATAGTCTGAGTTCTTGTTCTTGAATTTCATTCATCCAACTATCCATCACTCTCAAAGAAGATGAGACATTTGGAAAGCACATTAGTAGGGTTACGATGAGAAGTTGAACTAACTAGGTAAGAGGAGGTTCCATAAACACATCTTTCAAACCTGATTCCCAACACTCACGTCTATAAAAGGCTCATGCCTCATGAACAGCAATGCATCAGGAAAGCACAAACAGAACTGATCTGTGCATTTGGAATTGACTTCTTTAAGTTCGCTTGTGCTTCTTTATTGTCATATGCGCCTACTTCAACCATGGCTTGTAATTTTCTTCAATTCTTTGTTTTTTCAATTCTTGCAATCAATTTGTCATCAATGAATAACAACAATGTCTTGGTTGCGGCACACTGAAGATATACGAAAATATGATGCATAATTTTCCCTTTTAAGATCACGGATTTCCTTGATACAGCAGGCTATATATACAATAAAAGTCTAATTAGCCATGTTAATCATGACTTTGACATAGAGAACAATTTGGTTCAAGGAAAAATGCATCATTTCTATTTTGATCATGACTACCAGATGTAGAAATGTAAGACGGCAACATTTTTCTCTTCTTGACCAGTTTATGCCTGATTGATGAAGTCGAATTTTCAGTTCAACTTCCATCAAGAACCATGCTAATCAAAGATTAGTTGAAGGAAATTTGATTTGCATCAGACTTATGGAGGAAAAATGCTTGCTAATCCGCTACCTCATAGTCATCTGATGCAAAGGCATACCATACATATGTTTTTTTATGACATTTAAAACTCAAAAGGCTAATTTATTAAAGGTTTATATAATAAAACCGTTTACCATAACAATCTTGTTAAAAAAAGTTAACCGAAACATAAACTTTATCTCCTGTATTGTTATTTAGACAGTTGGAACTAGTACTTGATGGATTTACATGATAAATTAATTTTCATGGTCCCCTTTCCATCCCATAAACATGATGCTTATTTTTGAGTCATTAAGACGTGCAAACCTTAGTAAGCTTTTCCAATTAGTTGTTAGTGACGGGATTGTATTGCCAAAGGGTAGATTAGATCATTAATGAGTGAAGAGCACATGTTCTTGTCTTTGTGGTTTATCTTCTTATTATTATCGAACACCACATCTATTCATTGTAAGATTTTCTTAATACGTATCTTTTACTTTGTTTTGGTAATAATAGGAATGTTCTACTTAGCGAATAAGATATATTGACAATTATAAGTACATTTTGAGGTATTTAATTAAATTTACTTGAAAACGCGAATCTATAATAGAATTAAAAAATTTAAGAAAAATTCTTTATATTATGTAATATGTTAACAAATTAAATAATTTAAATATTATTACAAAAATAAAAAATTTTGATTTTAAATTACAAAAATGCAAGTATAAAACTGATTAGATTAATTGGTTAATAGATATTATTTTACGAAATTAAATTCAAATTTTGAGACGACACTTAATAGTATCGTACCGGAGCATCCTCAATATTGTGTGGTCCGCCATAAAAATGCAGAAGTTGTAAAAATTGCATCCATTAGTAACCAAAGTTAATTCAACCACTCAAATGGGCCATCGACTTTGTTACTACAGTAAGAAGTGTCGGTAATAATTGCATGCACCAAGAAATGGCAAATCGGTCATCTAAATTGTCTAAATAATCCTACCATTTCCTACCTCGGCAACTTCTTCCGTTCAGACGCTCTGTTTTCCTGCTTCCAGTTTCCTGTCTCAGGGTTCAAGATTCTGTTGTAGTCGGCTCTCTGTTCCTTAATCTGAGCAAAACCCAGACGGATTTACATTGTAAGTTATTTATTTTAACACGTCAATTTCGGTTCTAGTTTATGATTCCCTCCTTCCTTTTCCCCCCCATTTTTTTATTTGCTTGTCTCTGTCTTGATATGCTCTGTTTTTCATATGAGAAAAAGCTTGAAAATTTCTATAAAGGGGATTGGAAGTGAAGGGGGAATGATCAAATTCCATCCTTTCCCCTTTCTTTTTCGTTATTTCCTTGTTTTTGTGTTATTTGTTCATTTCCAGCTTGGGCTGGTGTTGAATTCTCTTTTGCTGCTGGAAAGAGATTAAGAAATTGCAGGAAGATTATTTGAATTTAGTGATGTTAAAGTTTCTAGCTGTATTATTTTGTAGGTTTTTAGTATTTTACTGTTGGTGGGTTTATGTCACACTTTACTCCGTTGCTCAGGAAGTTTTGGGGAAAAATTAGCACTCTTTTAATGGTTTTTGTTGTATGATTATTGTTAGTTGTTTATTTATTTGCTCTTGATAGGCTTATCCCATTTCTTGTTTGGTTGCTGAGAAAATTTTGAAGAAGAATTGGCTTCGTGATCTTTTAGTCTATTAGCAATTGATGAGTGATGACTATTCTATGATTTGGATTTTTTATTTCATCATTTTTCTTTTTGCATCTCTGTGAAGAAGTAACTAATTGATCTTATCACTGAAATTTCTCTATTCATAGTTGTTAATGCTAGTTTCAAGTGTTTGCACTGTTCTAATGAGGTCCCTTTGCAGGAAACTAACAGCAGATAGTTTAGCAGGGCATAGAAGGGAAACAGCATGCCTTGGTTGAGTCCCTCAGTTGATGTGTACCACAAACTTGTGTGCATAAATTTATATTGCAGGGTTATTTTATAAATTGTTTCCTCTTTCAAGTTTCAAGAGATCTTGATTTTCATACCACTGGGCCATTTTCTTTTTGCTTAATTTTCCATGGGATCCACTTGCTTTTCTGTCCTTTGTTGTGATCACAATAGGGTTAGTTAAGAAAATTGGAAGTTCAAAACTTGTCATCATTCAATCTTTCTCTCCCAGTTTGTGTTGTTGTTTGATCTCAACCGGTTTCTTCTTTAGAACTTTAGAAGTTAAATCTGCTCTTGGTCCTTACATGTGAACTGGCTTTTTGTTGCACTCTATATTTTGGGCATTTGTTTGTCTTATCCCATACACGGTGAGCCAAGGTTCGAAAGAAGTTATGGTGTGCCAGGCCACTAGTAAGACAAGATTTCGAGCATTGAAATATGAGAATGGGATTGCTGGAAAACCAACAATTATAGTTAGAGTAATCGCATGCTTTCAACCAATGGAGGATTGTCAGGTTAGTCAAATTTTAGTTTCATAACATTCTTCTTTGGTGAACAGTTTCTTAAATTAACAACCTCTTCTTAATGATTGCTCTATTAATGATTGGTTAAACATATATGTCACACAATTGTCTTCTTCTTTTGCAGGCTGAGTACTTCCGCCATTTGCTTAAACCTGTCACGTAGATTCATTCCAAGTTTTCATTATAGTATCAAGACTGTGAAGAAAGAGTTTTTAGTTATTTAATTATTTCTTCATCAAAGAAGCACTGAATAATTTAAAATACAAGATCAAGCATTGACGACCTCTTGGTATGTTTGCAATGTCCCATTTTTCTTCACTACTGGTTTGTTTTTGTTCATTCCCATAATAAAACCCTTTTAATGGTAACCTTTTTCTTTCTCATTATAGGTGGTTGCATTGGTTAGATGGTTGAGGCCGACAATACTTGGTTTTTACCTGAGCATTCTACTTGGCAATTGCAAAATTTGAATTTCATGAGTGAACAGTCAGAGTACCAGCAGTTAGAATGTTCATCTGTATGTGTGAATTCTGGAAATAGAATGTTTCCTG